CTACTTAGTGAGCTCCAAGGCTCAGGCCATTGGTAATCTATGCTGGTCTGTTGTTGGGAGTGGGAGGAGGGAGTCCCTTGCTACCTTTCAATCTTCCCTAGAATATGTACAAAAACATGGAGATGACTCTGGAGGTCAATGAACCAATCATTGAATGAACAATGAGAACCTACTAGGTATAAGTCATGGTACTTGCCACAAGGATGAATAAGACAATCCTTGCCTTCTCTGACCTTCTGGTATAGCTGGGAAGACAGAACATGACTGATTCTGTTCAGACTCAGAGGGTTGAACTACGAGCTATGGGTAGAAGCTGTTGATTCAGATTTCAGCGGCTATAAGGGAAAACTTAACAGGAGAGCCCATTCAAAAAATAGAATGAATAGTCTTGGAAGGATCTCCTTCACTAGCCTACTTCAGGTGGCCCCTTGTGGGAATTCTATAGCCAGGTGTCCTTGCTTAGGTATAGGACAATGTTTCAGAGCAGAGTCTCTTAGCCTTTTTTGTGTCATGGGTCCTTTGGGAGTTTGGTGAAGCCTCAAGGTTCCTGCTCAAAATAATATAAATGCATAAAATGAAATACATCAGGTGATGAAGGAAACCAATTATCAAAATATTAAAACAAAACAAATCCACAGATCCCCTTGAAATCTATCCAATGATCATCTGTGGACACCAGGCTAAGCATCTCTGCCTTAGAAGATTCCAGAGCTAACTGCTTTCTCCACCCTTTTCCTACCTCCTCCCCATTCTCTTAGGTATGCCAGTTTCTACAAGGTGCCACAGTCAAAAACACCCCCAGAACAGCAAGTCCCTTATGCCATCAAGGGCAACCAGTGGGTTGGCTTTGATGATGTGGAGAGTGTGGAGACCAAGGTAAGTGTGACCAAGGTGATGGACACAATGAGGCAACCCTGGCTACACTCAGAATGCAAAGAAAGGAGGCATAGAAGCCTCCAGGGTGGCTCTAAGATGAAGTTCCAGTGGTTTCTTTAGGCTAAGGTCAATAGTGGGGTTAAAAAATCCTCTGAGGACCTGAGGCATAGAAGATTGAAAGGGGGGAAGGAAAAGAAGAAAGAGAAGAACAGAGCAAGGGAGGAAGAAAGTAGAAATGAAAGAGGGAAAGAAAGAAGAAAAAAAGAAGGAAGGAAAGCAGAAAGGAACCAAGGGAAGGCAACAAAGATGGAAAGGAGCAAAGAAGAAAAAAGTAAAAAAGGAAGGCAGGAAAGAAGGAAAGAAAGAGAAAAGAAAATAGAAGCAAAGAAGGGAAAGAAGCAAAAAAGAAAGTAAACAAATCAAGAAAAAAGAAGAAAAAAGGAAGGAAAGAGGGAGAGAGGAAAGAAAGAAAAAAGGAAGAAAGGAATGAAACAAGGAAACAAGCAAGGAATGAGGAAGAAAGCAAAGAAGGAAGAAAGGAGAAGAAAGTAAAAAGGAAGCAAAGAAGAAAGGAAGCAAGGAAGGAAGGAAGAAAAGGAAGGAAGGAAGGACGAGAGGACAGATGAAACAAAGAAGGAAGGAAAGCAGAAAAGAAGGAATAAAGAAAGGAAAGAAGCAAAGAAAGAAGGATGGAAAAGAGGAAGAAGAAAGAAAGAAGAGAATAAGAGAAAAGTGATGATGATGGTAATGAGTATTGATGTTCCCACCCTCTTAATCTTAGGGACTTCTCTGGAGCACAACTGTACCACCAGTTACTTGCCTCTGTTCTGGGCAAGGGCTGGTGGGGGCAGCTCTCTTGTTTCCATAGTTACCTGTTCTATTTTTGCTCCTCATGGTTAGCATCACCCATCTGGCCATCTCCAAGGCCACTGTAATTGAAGCAGTCCCCTTTGTATGGTCCATGGTCCCTGAATCCTGGTGTCTGTGTCTGCTCAATTATTCCATGGAGCATTGTTGTGTAGGGGAGAAAGTGAGGGAAGTAAAGGAAGGTATCTACCCTATCTTCTGAGGATGTAGGGTCTGTGGGCTCCCTCAGTTTCCTCTTCCTACCAGGATGCCCTTTTCTCTGTCTAATCTAAATGTTTGCTGCTAAATTAACCCATTCCCTCATCTGAACCAGAGTCTAATGTTGAGTCATTCCCAGAGACCTAGGAAGACCACTAGGTGCTCTTTTCAGCCTCCCTGCCACATCCCTGTATATTTCCTTCAGGTCCAGTATTTGAAGAACTCAAGATTGGGAGGGCCCATGATTTGGTCCATCGACTTGGATGATTTTACTTTTAAATTCTGCAAAAAGTGTTCATTTCTGCTCCTCCAGGCAATCAAGAAAACACTGGACTCTGCCAATAAAGGTAATGGAAAAGTGAAGGAATAGTTGCCCATTCGAGGTAATTATGTGAAGTGGGAAAGGCTCTGGACTTTGAGTCAGAAGACCTGAATTCAAATTCCAACTTTGTTGAGTACTAGCTGTGTAAATTTGGTCAAGTCGCATCCCTCTCAAACTAAGTTTCTTTCTCTAAAATGAGGAAGATAGACTCGATATCCTCAAAGATCCTTTGGCTTCTGACATTCTATGATAGTACAAGATTGGAGGAATGATATACAAATACATTTGGGTATTTGCATTGTTGCGCTTCTAGGTGGTGCAATAGTACATACAGTGCCAAGCCTGGAGTTGGGAAGACTCCTCTTTATGAGTTCAAATCTAGTCTCAGACAATTCCTAGCTGTATGGCCCTGGGCAAGTCACTTAACCTTGTTTGCCTCAGTTTCTTCATCTGTAAAATGAGCTGGAGAATGAAATGGGAAACAGCTCCAGTATCTTTGCCAGGAAAATTCCAAATGGGGTCATGAAGAATGGGACATGACTGAAAACAACTGAACAACAACATTTGCATTGTTATAAAGATATTCATCCCATTACTTCTCATCTCTGTCCCAGGGAAGTTCTTCTAGACCCTGTTCTTATCTCTGGTTCTCTCAGGCTTGACAAACAAACAAACAGACAAAAAGAAATGAAAACAAAACCAGAGCCCTCTGACAGAAGGGCTTGATGAACTGTTCCCCAGGTTCCGATCGGCTTGTGTCCCTGTTTCAAGAGCAGATGGTCTTGGTTTTGACTATTCTCTCTTCTTTTTATCCACAGTTTAAACTAGAAACTGAACACCTGGCATTCCTCCACCTTGACAGTGCTCACAGATGGATGCCCTGAGACTGTGGCTAGCTTTGCTGTCCTACCCACTCCACCAGACAGCCTCACTTCATTCTCAAGCTGCTGAACAGAATAAAATAGAAATGATTCTATCTAAGAAAACTGAGTGCTTCTATTTTACCCTTACAATAGCATTTTGTCTTCACATTCAGACAGTCCCAAACCTATTGGGGCTGAAGTCACCCCCCTCCTAATTTGAGACCAAACTGCACTTTTCTCATTATCTCACCCAACCTCCTACTTCCACCTCTGCTTTCTGAAACATCGTCCTACAAGACTAGGAGACATTTCCCTGGTATATCCATCACTGATTACAGAAAGTCTTTTGCTTTTGTCTGCCCAAGGCTTGGGGGGGACTCAAGAAAGAAAGAACCAATATAATAATTGGCTTTCTAATGGCCACATAGAAACCAGTGATCAGTTCGATGAAGCTCAAGAATTAACTGGAGTCTGTTCCTTGAGCCCTGGACTCAGAACTCTATAGTAAATAGAGATAAATACAGATGGCCAGATGGGTGATGCTAACTGTGAGGAGCAGTAGAACATACAGTTATAGAAACAAGAGAGCTGCCCCCACCAGTCCCTGCTTAGAACAGGGGCAAGTAACTGGTGGTACTAGCAGTGCTCCAGAGAGGTCCTGGAGATCAAGAGAGAGAGGACGTCAATGCTCACTGCCATCATCACCTCCTTCTTCTCTCATTTTCTTCTTTCTTTCTCTCTTTTACTTTTTCCTCACACCTGCTTCTGAAGGGAGGGAGGATGCATTTACCTTGCAAACATCCTGGAGCAGATAAGGAAACTAGAAGGAAAGAGTCAGTATTTGACTTAGAGAGGATTCTGACCTGACCTTTTGTTCCAGTCTCACCACCCTGAAGAGGCCCCAGGATCATTGTTCATGGGAATGGGGGTCTCCCCAAAGGATGACAGACCTGATTCTTAGAGGCAGTGGTGGTGGTGAAAACCAGTGATGGGGCAAAGAATGGAAGAGTTATTTGACTTGAAACATTCACAAGACTGATCAGTCAGTCAGCAAGCATTGATTATTTATTATGTCAGGTTTGGGATACAAAGAAAAGCTAAAACAACCCCTGCCCTCAAAATGCTCACATTCTAATGGAGGTGATGACATGTAAGTAACAAAATACACAGAAAGTAGATGGACAGTAATCTCAGAATGTAGTTA